AAGGAAAAGAGAGCTTCAAGAAATATAATTACACTTCAAGATATCAATTTAATGGTTCGTTTGTTTTACGTAATCGCGTGCTAATATTTTTACATTTATGTAAATTGTATTAAGAAAGGTATGCAAATATATCAAGGAAACAAGAAACTTAAATAATATAAAAGTAAATAATAGTTTTCATAATCTTAAAACATAAATTTTATCAAGAAACAATTTCACACAATTCTATCAAAAGAAAGCTTTTTTTTTTAAAGGAAAACCAATTACAAAATTTTAGTAAAGAAAGTGACAACCAAACAAAATTCATGATATCAGTGTCATAAACTAATAAATAGTAAAAGTCTAATAACTTCCTTTTTAAATATAATTTGCAAAATTCCAATGTCTTAAGTACAGACAGAATACATTTCAGAATACATTAATTTCATGAACTTACAGAAAGTATTTTCATCAAGCACTTATACTTTTCATATATTGAAATTTATGATTTTTTTAACTATAAAGCTAATTTGAATATGCACCATTTCATTTTTCTGATTATTTCATGCATAAGACTTTCTTATTCTGTTTAGTGGTTATTATTATCATTCTTCTTTTTATATTATTATGAATATTATTACTATAATTATCAGTATCACCATCACTATCATCTTCATTATTATCATTATCAACATTAATATTAGTAGCAGTAGTGCTATCATCATTATCATTGTTATTATTACTGTTATTGTCATTATTGTCATTATCATTATTATTATTATCATTATCATAATTATTACTATTATTATCATTGTTTTTGTTATCATTATTATTACTATTAGTATTATCATTATTATTATTATTATTATTATTATTATTATTATTACTATTATCATTATATTATATTTATTATATTATATTATCATTATATTATTATTATTACTATTAATTTATTATTTATTATTATTATCATTATTATTATTATCAGCATCATCATTATTATCATATCATTATTATTATTATTATTATTATCATATTATCATCATTATGATTATCATTTTGCATTATCATCATTATTATTATCACTATTTTTGTCATTGTTATTATTATTATTATTACTACCATCATCATTATCATCATCATCATCATCATCATCATCATTATCATCATCTTCATCATCATCACTATCATACATTATCATCACCATTATCATTATTTACTTGTTTTCTCTTAAATCATCATTTTTATTATATTGTCATCATCAATATCACTACCAGTATTATACTTATTATTACAATCATTGTTATTAGTTATCATTAGTAGCAGTAGTATTATTATTATCACAATCACCATTATCTTTACTACAATCATAATTTTTCTTATTATCATTTCTAATATGTTCATTATTACTATCTTTACCATCATTGTCATTATCATCATCATCAATGTTTTTTTTCTATTTATCATTATTATAGTTGTTAGTATTTGTTCTGGTATAATTTACATAATAAATATCTTATATCATTATTATTATTATTCATTTCTGTTAATGGTTACCTTTACTTTATCAATGTCAGTAACTTTTTCAATTATTATTATTATCATCTTTTTTACCATACTTAATACCATTCCTGTTATTACCATTAATTCTGATATCCGAATAGTTACACACTTTCTCTGCTATTATATTTATTCTGATTATTATATTCATTATTATAACAATTACATTATATTCATTATCATCATAATAATCACATTAATTATCATTATGTCAATTTGTTTATCATTTTCATAGTCATATCATCATTTTAATGATATTTATTATTATTATGATAATTACACTATATTCATTACCATTATAACAATCTTATCAGCTATCATTATAATAGTTTTGTTAATTATCATTAAAACAATTATATTATTGTTTATTATAATTACATTATATCAAGTATCATTATAGTAATTATATTATCATTATAATAATTACTGCCTTTATCATAACCACTCCCTCAACCTCATCTTTATCTTTGTTTTAATCTACATGTAATTATCATTTTCCTAATATTGTCATGACAAGCAAGGTCAGAGCTTAGTTAAATTAATTTAATTCTTGTTTTTCTTTGCTTTGATTACCTAATAAATATAGAATTATGTTTTATCTGACCAAGTCCTAAAGGGAATTTAAAATCTTGCATTACTTCATAATGCAATTACATACTTTAATATTCCTAAAACACGTATGGATTCTATTTCATAATGATTGTAATAAATAGCATAATCAAATGCATGTGGCAAGTGGAAAATATTTATTACTGATTTAGCTCTATAAATATTTTTTTGTTTTATTTTCTCATTTCCTTTATTTTAAGAGTAAAAAGAAGACAAAAATAAATTTAGTTATCCTTAAGTTTTTAATTTAATTTCCCTTATTTTTCAAGAAAAAAACAATATCAGAAACAAATATGAATCATGGGAAACAACCTATTTTAAACAGGTGAAAAATGGGTATTTCAAACAAGGATAATGCTATCAAAATGTTATTGGAAGCAACTTAGACATCTATGAATATGGAATTACATAGATCATGAAGTAACAAAAATACAGAAAAGACGGGAAAAGAAAGTTATATTTTGCTCTTCCAACAAACATAAATGAAAGGCAAAAACAAGCATAATGAAATCTGTAATTAATCTGAATTTACAGATATTATGAAGGCTATCAACAGTTGGCTACAATGGCAATAAATCCATATAAAACAAAGATTAACTTCCAGAATGCAGTGGCTTATAACATCATGCTACTAAACACAGTCCAGGCAATCTAATACTAACCAAAAATAATTAAAAAGTAAGACAATTAAGCTCAAAGTCAAAATGCAGATTTGCAATATTTGTAAAGGCACAATTCTATTTAAACTATATCTCCCTTTACAGAATATTATAGGAATATGTTACCAGATCACATGTCAGTATTGTGTAGCAAATGATATACAAGATTTTCGTTGGTAATTGAAAATGAGTAACAGTATCTTTGCCTTTATCTGCAAGAAACAATAGATGTAATATGAATACCAGCTCATCAGTTACCTAAGAGATCAATAACTAATCTTTTGTCAATCTATTATCTTTATTCACTTTATAATATTCAATTGCATACTTTTCTATTTCCCTTATCTACTTATAAAGTTGCTTTAATCATTGCCATATATAACACAAAGAGCAAGGAAAAAGCTCACCTAAACACTGGTTCATCACTCCTTCATTCCATTATTTCTTCACAAAAACAAAGAAAATCTAAGAAGATTTAACAAAACTTCAAATTTCAGTTAGTCTGCAACAGCATGTATCAACTGAGTTAGTCTCTTACACAATATTTAACTACCCATATATATATATATATCACTTCTATGTCTAAAGCTTTTGATTGCATATTTTACCATCCCCATATTACTTTCATCTACAAACTGCAAGACATGGTTTATTGACAGATTAGCTCCAAACTACTCTTTAGGAAAGTGTGCGAAAAAAGTTTTTGCTTGTTAACAATAGTGTTTCTCTTTCAATACTACTTTCTTTCTTTAAATATCTTACCATTAATTTGGTTATCTTAACCTTTAACCCCAAAGGACTGTTAATTTCTGAACTTCATGTGCAAACAAGATGAGAAAATCATGTCTATTTGCCTTAACTAAACAGACAATTATCTCAACTCTATTCCTTCTCACAAGGTTTGTATAATATGAATACCCTTAACACCTTAGGGGGAATTTTATAAAGTCATTCTATTTGGATAATTCTGTTATGAATAATATGGACACTTTTTGGGGGGGTCATATTATAGTGTGTTTTGCATGCCTTCTTTAGAACTACAGGTTAACTGGTCTCCTTACTCTCAAATTGGAAGATTTTGAATTTCCTTGAACACAGTGGATTGTTTTAAATGCACTTCCAATGTCACATATCTTAAGATAATGGAGCCACTGGAGATACATTATTACATTAAAAGCAAAGGTGAAATTTCACTTAATTTGTGCATATTTTCTTATTTTATGAAGAGAATAAGAAGGGAAATCACACATTTTCTATTCATCCTTCTCTTTTACCAGTTTTATCTAATTATGAAGAACAGGTTCTTCCTTTGAAAAGTCTCTTTTAGCTACCTTTCTGCAGTAACTTACCTAAATACCACCATCTCAGTCCAGAGCTTGTATTAAAGTGCAGGTTTGAAGGTGATTCCAGTCACATATATTTATAATCAAGGGATGTGCTATATTTTCTTTTAACAGATACAAAAACATATTCCTCGCATGCACAAAATAACACATCTTCATGCGACACGCCTCTCTGGCCCATCAAGGCAGCCATACACACCAAAAAAAAAAAAAAAAGTGTTCAATAATGAATGCTTTTCTACCCCATAAAGAAAAACTACTAAACAAGGAAACTAAAAACATGCATTTATATAATTTCACATATATTTAATAATTTTCCTTGTATTTATAATTCTATACAATTTATATTCAGTACATCAGGAAAGTAATACCTATTTTCTTCTTTAACATCAAGCAAAGCATGATCTTCACTTGGCAGGCATTAATCATCATGATTATTGCAAAGCTAACATAATGCTTCTGGCACGTGTAAGAGAAATTAATAAAAAATGTGTTATCACTGAAGGGGCAATATGGACAGGTTCCCTTCCTGAAGGCAAGTACCACTTTCATAAATCCTAATTATTATATGGAAAAGAGCAACATGCTCCCGTACAACCCCCGGCAGTTCTCCCTACACATGAAACTGCGCACAGGAGAACTACTATAACATAGAAAAAAATGGTAGAAATGAGCAGACACAAAGTTTCTACTCTCCAAGCAATGCATATACAAACTTATCAGTTACTCAGGACAGCATTCTTCAATACAGCAGGCAGTAGAAAATACACTTAGGGAGAGGATTAAACCTTGAAATAAAAAAAGATAAATCTACCCAACATCACATACAACTTAAAAAAAAAAAAAAAAA